TGGGCTTTAAAATGAGGTGTCGCGGAAGTTGTAAACTGCTGTCGATCTTGCTGTGACCCCCTAGGAAAAGGTTATGCCCCGCCCTGTATATTGGACTTTTTGCATCACAAAATCATGGTTTATCTACTTCCTTTATTAATGAAAATATAGAAACATCAATGACCAAGATCTAATTGTTCATAAATTGCAAATTTTATCATTAAGATGTATTTGGGTAGAATTTTTAAGACAGTTGTATCCACTTAATTATCATACCATCCAGCGCTCAATTAACTAGATCCCTATTCATCACATCATGAAACGTTTTGTTATTTCTTTGCTGAAAACAACGTATATCACCAGCATTCACAAAACCTATTAAGGAAGTGAAATGATATGTTGGAATGAGTGTGGAGGACCAGAGAAAGAGATGCTGCATTGGGAAGGATCAAATAAGATGTGGGGAGGGGAGGAATGAACCCACATGTATGTAACAGACAGAAAAAGAAAAAGGTCCTCGCTAATTTCTTTGATACTGCAAAATCTCCATTCCTACCCTACTTTGAGGCCAGTTCTCCGAACTACTCAAATTTTCCGCTACCAGTTCTCCAGAATCTGTCAGAACCTGCTGGATTTCACCCCTGCTTTCTGATAATCACCCTGTTGTTTTCAGGGAGTTTACGAATAGTCTAGTTGTTTTCTTCGATTGATTTGTGATCTTTCCTAAAATATTCCCTAAAACTGACAATTTCTGTCAATTATATCTCCTTGCTATATTTTTTTTGTCAATATACTATTGAGAACTTTTATTAATCCTTTGTTCTTGAGTTTTGGAAATAGTGGCAACACTTGTTCTCCCGATTTACAATATTTTCAAGTTAAACAACTGTAGAAGAAAGATTCAAATGTAAAAAGAGCATGTGAGATAAGAAAACAAGATTTCTAACTTTAAAATTCCACAATGTTTCCTTTCCAGTTTCATCTATTTCTAAAGAAGAATGAATTGTACAATCTTTCCCTGCTGAAAGTGTACTTGGATCAAAATGGGGATGTAGCAGCAGATCTGAAGGTCATTAGTAGGGTGGTTCTGCCCAAGAAGGATCCCATCAACAAGAATTTGGGGAGTTTTGAAAGACAGAGACTTATAATCAACCAAGATACTTTCTCACAGCTAAAGTTGCTGAACAAGGTGGGGAAAATATCAATACTCCCCCCCCCCAAATATTTATAATCTATTTCAACAGTGGAGTAATTCAAAAATGTTTACTACTGGTTCTGGGGGTGTGGCTTGGTGAGTGTGGATTTGTGGGCATGGCTTGGTGGGTGTGGCAGGGGAAGGATACTGCAAAATCCCCATTTCCTCCCCATTACCTGGGACTTGGGAGGCAGAGAATAGATGCGGTTGGGGCCAGTCAAAGGTGGTATTTATCGGTTCTCTGAACTACTCAAAATTTCTGCTACCGGTTTTCCAGAACTGGTCAGAACCTTCTGAATATCACCTCTAATTTCAAGTGGACTAAACCTAGTCAAAAGGGTGGGTAGCCTTGACTGAGAATTGAATGTGTGGAGTAAAACTTTTATTATTTTCTTAGACAGATAGGGAGGCTTCAATTCTATTGACCAAGGTATCCTTCAGAAGCTATAATGCTGAATACTGTTATAAGCTGATTCAGCTATATCTCAAATGAGATTTCGGGTGATTATTACTTAGGACACAAATCTCTGCCATTTTATGTCCCTTCTGAGGTTTACTATCTCGATAATACTGGTGACAGATAGCCTAATTGGCTGAAGATTTTGGTGTTGCTAGCTTCAGCTTCACTACTTACTTGTCCTCAAATATCAAAGATGAAGGCAATTCTGTTCACCAGGGCCTGAGTTCAGGTAGGGTCTCAATCTGATGAAATGGAATCAAGGCTGAATGGAAGTCCTGTTGGTCCCAATGTCTTGGTTGGAGTCAGAGGTCTCCCAAAATTCCAGGCTCAAGGTCTGAGAGGTTTTTAATCAGCTAAGACCTGGTCATAGCTATACATGCCTCTCTTTAACCCCACTGGGATAGTGGAATTTAGGAAGGAGGTCCAAGGCTGTCAATTCACATGAAATCATAATGACTGGTCTGATGTGAGCTTATTTATTCATTGGTTGATTGAATTTATTTGCTACCCCTCTCACCACAATAATGGCCTGAAAACTGAAGTAATGAAACAAGACTTTGGTGCAAAAAAAAAATTCCTGATATCAGAAGTAATAAGGGACAATTTCAAGGGAAATATTACTTAGGTTTCAGCATTGGCTTTAAGAGTGCACTTCATCTGAAAATCCTTTGCATGTAATTGTTTATCTTGATCCTTAGCTACCTTCAGGCACCCTGTGAGGCTCCAAATCAGGCTATATGTCAGAAATGTTCAGCCCTAGTTTGCCATGAACCCTGGAGGGGGAGCAGAGCAGAGAGTGGGAACGCATAGAGGGAGGAAGTTGTTGGTCAGAGAAAGTCCTCAAGGCTCCAGATCAAACTAATAGTGAATATGGGTGTGTATTTCCCTATTAGATTGTGTCACCTAATTGTATTCTTTCAATGGAAAGGATCTTGTGTTGGATATGTTGTGTTGGATATCCCTTTCCCGCCCAGAGCTCTCACTCATGACCCACGTGGGGCATCTGACTCACCCTTTTTGATGGACACATTCTCAAGACCTCACCCGCTTCTCCCCTCACTAGAGTTTAGAAACTAGTCAGTTTTAATTTTCGTTCACCAGCATGGCAGCCATGTAAAGTGAACAAATAAACATACAAATAGAAAACAAGCCCTTTAAGGTTCACAGCCTTTACTTGTAAGGATTTTTTCCCCTTTGTATCTAAACTAGGAGGTAGTTTGGGACTATTTTCAAAAAGACCTTTACACTCCAGAAGAAAACTTTCCAGGTCTTACTGATCAGAAGTTTCTTTCTTAATCACAGTTTTAATCTATTTTAAATAAATTAAAAAGAAATAAAATTTAAATAAATAAATTGATATATAAAAGATACATCAATCAATCAATCATTCATTCAATTAGTCACTTAATCTTTATAAAGATGAATAGAAATTTAATACATATTTCACAATAAAGTTTACTGTAAAATTTAAAATAAGTGGATATTTTAAACCCATTTTTACAATCTTATATGCCCCAAGAAAATGGAGGAACTAAATCTGCCTGCAATTGTATTCCTGCAATCATTTGGAAGAAATCAGAGATTTCATATTTTTCTGTCTGAAGCCCAGAGACTACTTGGCTAATGTTCCTCTCTACCTCCAGGTTACATAGATGGTGATTGTAACATTTTTCCTTTGGCATTTCTTCTTTCTCTTCTCAGTCTCTGCCTCAGTCCAAATGTGTGGATAAATGTCAGCCTGGATTTGTCAGGAAGGCTCGAGAAGGAGAGCCAGTTTGCTGCTACGACTGCGTTCCTTGTCCTGAGGGGACCATCTCCACTCAGGAAGGTGGGTGAATATATGAATTACCTGTAACTTGAGGAATGATACATCGATCATACATTTAATCAAATTACTCTTGATTAAGATCATGAATCCTTATAAGCTGAAATATCTAACTCGGAGGAACAATGGAGGGAAAGAAGTTGGGTTCAAGGAACAAATGAAAACCAAACAGAAGACCCATCATAAAACCATCAAGTGGATATTTTCTTCCCACCTTTTCTTATCTTTCCAATTTGTGTTGTTGTAAAATATTGAGATAAATATTGTTATAACACCAACAAAAAAAAGAATATAGTTGCGGTTCTGAAAGGAAGAAAAAATACTAACATATATTGCTGGGATTAAAAGGAACAGAAAGGAGGGTTAAGGAGAACTAATAAAAGACCAATCTACAAATAGATACCAAGGTTGAATTTGTTCTCTCTTTAAAACTGTTGCCAAATCTAGAATGGATGGAAATATATTGTTTCATCTTCTCATTTTTATTGGATAAAAGGACTTGGCAGATAACAAACTGAGTTCCTCTACTTGAATCCCTTCACACATTAATCTTCCCTAAGATCTCTTTCTTTTCAAATTTATTAATCAAATTTATATGGTGGTCTATTTCACACAAAGTTACTTTTGGTGGTACACAATTAAATCACAAATTAGGTTTAGGTTTATTGGACTTATATGCCGCCCTTCCCCCAAAGGACTCAGGGTGGCGTACAACATAAAAAACACATATTACAAAAGTTAAAAGAAAGATTAAATAGAATATCCAAAAAAATCCAATAGACATTTACAATAGGATTTAGAAATTAAGTTAAAATTAACAATTAACAATTAATAATTTATTTTATTCAGGCCAGGCCTGCTTGCTGGGAAAGCCAACTTTTTAGGGCACGCCGGAAGGACTGGAGGTCGGGAATTATGCGAAGCTCCGGAGGCAGCTCATTCCAAAAGGAAGGCACTCCCACAGAGAAGGCTCTCCCCCTGGGGGTCGCCAGCCGACACTGCCTGGCTGACAGCACCCTGAGGAGGCCAACTCTGTGGGATCATACTGGACGGTGGGAGGCTACTCGTGGCAGTAGGTGGTCTCACAAGTATCCTGGGCCTAATCCATGGAGCACTTTAAAGATCATAATTAACACCTTGAATCGCACCCGGAAAACAACCGGCAACCAGTGCAGGCCACCTAAAAGGGGTGTAACATGGAAGCACCTAGGTACCCCCATGACAACCCGGGCTGCCAGATTCTGGACCAGCTGAAGCTTCCGGGTGCTCTTCAAGGGCAGCCCCATGCAGAGAGCGTTACAGTAGTCCAGGCGGGAAAGGACGAGGGCATGAGTGACTGTACACAGGGCATCATTTAGGTGGTTTGGGGTAGAGAGGCGCCTCGGGGTCTATTTCTGCCCTCCAGTCAACATGAACTGCAATTGATCTGACAGGTAGGAGGAGAACCACTGCAAAATGATGCCCCCCCCCCCAAATCATCGCAGTAGGATACCATGGTCGATGGTATCGAAAGCCACCAAAAGATCTAATAGGACCAGGACAGAGGAACATCCCCTGTCCTGGGCCCGCCAGAGATCATCAACCAATGAGACCAATGCCGTCTCCATGCTGTACCCGGGCCTGAAATCCGACTGAAATGGATCCAGGTAGGCAGCTTCATCCAGGGACTGGGGAAGCTGACGTGCTACCATGCTCTCAACAACCTTCACTACAAAGCAAAGGTTGGAGACCAGACAATAGTTGGCTAAAGAGGCTGGGTCCAGGAAAGGCTTCTTAAGGAGGGGCCTCACCACCGCCTCCTTCAACGCGATGGGAAAGAACCCCACTCTCAATGAAGCATTGGTAATCACCTGGAACCAGCCTCGTGTCACCTCCCGGGAAGCCAAAACTAACCAAGAGGGACATGGGTCCAGCACACAAGTGGCAGCACTGAGTCTCCCCATAATCCTGTCCATGCCCTCAGGAGTCACCAGGTCAAACTCATCCCAGATAGTTTGCACAAGATTCATCCCTGTGAACTTGCCTGAATCTACCCAGTCAGAGTCTAAGCCTGTCCGAATCTGAGCGATTTTATCCTGCAGATACTGAACAAATTCCTCAGCCCTACCCTGAAAGGGGTCTCCCCCAGTTCCTTGATTAAGTAAGGACCAGGTCACCCTAAACAGGACAGCTGAGCAGTTATCTGCGGACGCAATAAGAGTGGAAAAATGTTGCTGTTTTGCCGCTTTTATTGCCACTAAGTAGGATTTAATATGAATTCTTACTAGTGTTCAGTCGGATTCGGACCGGCTGGCCCTCCAACCACTCTCTAGGCGTCTTTTCCAGCATTTCATCTCCTGGAGCTC